ATGTTGTGTTATCTTCAATGCCCATTAATGAGGCACTCTGGAATTAGGCTGGAAGCAGGGCTCGCACCGTTCTGTTTATATGCCCACCTACTCCCTCAGTCTTTGGGGATACCCTGGGAAGTTACAATTTGACCAAGTCCTGCATGAATTTTCTAGGTTAATTTACTTTGCAATAAAACAATGAATGCACAATCATTTTACAGAAACATTCAGATTTTAAATATATTTCTCAGAAAAATTATTTCTGAGAATAATTTGATGGTTTGCAAGTCTCTAGACAGAGACTATTGGAAGTTTTTGCAGCATCTTTGGGTCACAGTAAGTATTCTCCTTAAAACTGGATGGTTTCAAATCTGCTAAACCGAAATGGGGACTTTTCCAAAAGAACATGTAGGTATGTAGCACTTGGACCTTATCCTAAGAAATACTGGGATTTGTAGAAACAGAAATGTAGAGTTGATGGAATCATACTATACAACTAATGTGCCTATTTTAAATTATAATTTTTGGGAAAATGGTTTTGAATGATCAAATAAGGAAAATATGTGCTGGAAATTAATATTTTTATTTCATATATAATCCTAAATACCCAAAGGGAACTTTATTATTTGTGATTGGTATTACAGGGTATTGGATCAAAAGGACAGTAAGTGATACCTTAAAACTGCTTCCATTACTTTTTACTATATAACATTACTTAGGTTTGCTGAAACAACTATAAACAGAAGTGGAGTCAGGCAGGGTCAGAATTTAATTGCTCTGACTTCTGATAAATTATTTTCTGGACCCTTTTTCCCATCTACAATATGTTGATACTTGTAGCTATGGTATAATATTTTCATGGGTATTTAATGTTCGTGAAGAAAAGCCTGCAAAATAGTATCAGGTCCATTCTAATTTTATAGCATGTATATATTATATTGCATGCTAATATCAATTTACAAGCATGTCTACAATTGGAAATTGAATATTTTCAGTTGCATTTGGTAAAAATTTAATCAATTTCTAGAAAATAATTATAAAAATAGTGGGCCATTTATACAATGATTTTGAAATCATTCCAGATAATAATCAAGTTTGACTTCTCACTAGTTTAAAGCATTGCACCATGAGTAGGTGGAACTCCAGCAGTGTGACTGACTTCATCCTCATGGGGCTGACGGACTCTGCAGAGACACAGCTGGTCCTCTCCGGGCTCTTCCTCCTGATTTACCTGGTCACGGTGCTGGGGAACGCGGGGATGATACTGATCATTCGCCTGGATCCCCAGCTTCACACCCCCATGTACTTTTTACTCACTCACCTGTCATTTCTCGACCTCAGCTACTCAAGTGTCATCACCCCTAAAACCTTACAGAGCTTACTGACTTCCACCAAGAGCATCTCTTTCCTGGGCTGCTTCACTCAGATATTCTTTTTTGTAGTCTTTGGCACTGCTGAATGTTTGCTTCTCTCCTCTATGGCCTATGATCGCTATGTAGCTATCTGTAACCCTCTGCACTATTCAGTCATTATGTCTACAAGACTGTGCCATGCCCTGCTCGTTGGCTGCTATGTTATTGGCTTTCTGGATGCCACTTTGGGTGCGGTTTCCCATAGCAGACTGCACTTCTGCAATTCTAATGTCATCCAGCATTTTTTCTGTGATGTATCCCCAGTTTTAGCCCTGTCCTGCAGTGACACTTATGAGGCTGAAATCATTGTATACATTTGTGCTGGCTCCAATTTAATGCTGTCCCTCATCACCATATCTGGATCCTATCTGTCCATTCTCTCTACTATCCTGAAAATTAATTCCACTGCAGGAAAGAAAAAAGCCTTCTCCACCTGTACCTCCCATCTCCTGGGAGTCACCATCTTCTACAGCACTATGATGTTTACTTACCTAAAACCAAAGACGTCCTACTCCTTGGGAAGGGATCAGGTGGCTTCTGTGTTTTACACGATTGTGAGCCCCATGCTGAACCCTCTCATTTACAGTCTCAGAAACAAAGAGGTGAAGCACGCTGCCCTGAGAGCCCTGCAGAAGATAGAGGGCCACAGGCAGTTAAAATAACAGTGAAGTTAAGCATTTACACTGTCTTTTCATTTTCCTTTGGGGGATTTTAGGGTGTCTCTCTGAAAGCAACTGCATCTCTTTGTGCTGCTCAAGTGCCCTTACTTAACTAAGCATGATCTTGGACAGTGCCATGAGCATTATTTTAGAAATTCATACTGAAATTGGAAATCACCAAGTGCATATTAAATCCAGTGTTTTAATACATGTGATTTTAGGGCAACTAATGTGCAAAAGAAAAAAATGTGTGTGCCATTTTTAAAGCTTTCGTACAGTATTCATGCTTTCTCCAGTTTTTGGAAAACTTTATAATATAAAAGAAAGGCATTTTTTCATAGATCATTGTGTTTATAACACAGAGAATAAGGGCAGTTTACTTAGTAACAATGGCTTTCAAATCCAACATTCAAGCATTTGGCTTCTAGATCTGGAAACTTTTTAGTGAGTAACCCTCATTAATTTACCGAAAGTTTATGATGAATCCCCCTCAACTGGACTAGATGTATAATTTCATTATCATCTGATCAGGAGATGGTTGTGAAATTTTTAGGGTGATAAAAGTAAATGTTGCCCATTATTATCAGAAGACTTGAATCCCTAGGATATTTTGGAAAGCAGCTCTGCTCACCACTGTACCCCAACACTGATTCCTTATGTATCTTAATGCATACCATTTTTGAAGATTATTCCTCCAAGTTTTACAAATTTCTTTTGGTAAATTTAGTTGGCCAACACACAAAAAGCTAACATACAAAATGATAACAGAAAAAAAACAAGAAGTCAGTAGTTCCCCATATTGGATCCATAATAAAGTAAAATATTGAAGTAGAATTAAGTCAGAGGAATGTGATCTATGTTAAAGTTAGAACAATTTGGCAAAAAATGAAAATTATTAAAGAAGAGAGAAATGCAATAGCAATTTTCGACAGTTTTGTACATGTCCTCTTAAATAAATGGTTATTAATAGCTATATTGTTCAATACGGTTTCTGTCATATCCTGTGTAATTGTTTCTGCTTTCTGTAGTCACTTAAAACTTTAACATCTAAGAATCTCTTTGTAATTGAAATCTGCCTGATGAACATGTTCTCAAAATATGGGAAAAACTAAGAGTCCCCCATCGTGTAATAGGTTGAACCTGAAATGCTGTGAATTTACCGAGTTAAAAATCTGCATGCAGTAGCATGTGTTAGGTGTGTACCTTCGCCCCATGTCTAACCGCAGCTTTCTGAGATGGGACAAGAAGCTTCAGCCCCTGCCCCTTTGTCTGTCTGCTGATTTCTTCATGATTGTGAGAAATTACTGCACAGTGTGCCTCATTTGTTTCACATTTTAATGGTGAAAGTTGCAAAAAAAGGATAAATGATGAATTTAGAATAGGTGGCATTGATTAAAATTAAGTAGAGAAGTAAAATATTACTTCTTAAAATATTCTGACTATTCAATCTCTAATTGCAACTTTAAATTTTTCTTTGCTGTTTTAAGGTTATTTTGTAATGTATTGTTTATTTTTCCAGGCAAGTTTTTTATATAAATATTTTGAAAATTATATGGATTGTTTTAATCTCAGAATATAAGAATTATTTGTCGACATTTAAATTAGTTTTCATAAAATTATATTTAATTATTTTGAATGTGTAAAGTTAACTGCAATATCTCCATTTTTAAAATTAGGAATATGTTGAGGTTTTAGCAACTTGCCTATCAATTAGTTTCTTCAAATCTTTTAAAAGGGTACAATATTCTTCCTTTGCTATCTATGTTTTTAGAATCGATCCTTGAAGGGATTCCTAGTTGTTTTTCTTTGCAATGAGAACTAAGATTTAATAAACATGTACTGTTGAATATGCTGTTTGGGTACATCATTCATTATAAGGGTCTCAGTTATTTCATATAGTTATGGGTTCCACTTCCACTCAATTTTATAAGATGTGGTTTTACTTTACTTTCATTTATATGCATTTCTATGATTTAGACAAATTATGCTATCATTTTTCATTGGCAGTGCAATCTATGAGTTTATAGGCAACATTGAAGGCAAAGAAATTCTTAAATTTGAATTAAATTAGCCCTAAGTTATTTTCTTTATGATGTGACCTAGAGAACACTTATATCATGTTATTAAATAAACATAATATAATTGAGTAGCATTTAGAAACATTTAAGCTACATTTGTCATTGCTTAATTATTTTATTATATCACTGCACAGCTCATGTAATGGAAGTTATTTGTCTGAAATAATTCAAGATATTCTGATGGAGTTTAGGGTGCCAGGTCAGAATGCTATATAATGGAAATATCATTTGTAGAAGATCATAATACACCACAGCAAAATGTGAACAACTGTTTTTGCTTTCAAGTGATTCATGTGTAGATAATAATGGAACAATTTTTATACATATATATACGTAAACATCAGTGCACCTACTTCATAAAACAAACACACTACTGGACATAAAAGAAAAAAATAACAGCACCATAGTTGCAGATGCAGTGCTCCATTTTCACAAATAGATAAACTAAAAAAA